GCAGTTGTAACAAATCAAAAGAAAAATCAAAGGGCGAATGAAATGTGGCTTGCTGTTAAAAATTATGGAAAATAAAAGAAACCGCCCGCAAATAATACTCGGTCCCTCCAGCTATAAAAATAACTTTCATGAAACTGAAGTTAGTTTGCCTAAATGTTAAATTATACAAAGATTTTAGCATAATATAATTTAAGGTTTTTACCTTGACAGTCTGTAAAATTACGCAAAAATCAGTATTATTTAAGTCTGCACCTTAAATTATGATTGAAAAAGTTGCACACTGATTGCAGAATAGTTACAAATATACATAACAGAGACTGCCAGCTTAATCTCTGCATCAGCAGAGACAGAGAGACTGAGGGAGAATGAGACGAGTGACAGTGCAAAAAGTCACGCGAGGGGTTCCACTTATTTACGCAAATCTAAGGGAGATGGACAGAGTGACATACTATATATATATATATATATATATATATATATACATTTTTATTTATTTACTTTTTTGCAGTACGTGGGCCTCTCACTGTTGTGGCCTCTCCCTTTGCGGAGCACAGGCTCCGGACGCGCAGGCTCAGCGGCCATGGCTCACAGACCCAGCCGCTCCGCGTCATGTGGGATCTTCCCGGACCGCGGCACGAACCCATGTCCCTCACATCGGCAGGCGGACTCTCAACCACTGCACCACTAGGAAAGCCCCATACAATATATTTAACAACTGGTATGGCACGGCCTTAGACTAAATTGTTGTAAACCATAAATCAACAAGAAGACCTTGTGGGGTCTTCTACCAGGCAGTGGGCACCCTCGCCCTCTCAACTCTTGATTTGACCTGGCAAGGCTGGAGCTCTCTTGGTGTGGAACAGGACCAATCTGCATTGCATAAGTTGCTCAGGGATGCTGACTCCCATTTACTCAAGTCAGCAAGATATGGACTTTGGTTTCTATTTGTTTTGACCAAATTCTGTACACAGAAAAAGGACAATGTAGGACTAGAAGATAAATCTACTGCGGGGGAGAAGGAGTCTGGTGTGGTTCAATAAAAAGGCTCATGTGTTGATGGAAAAGGGCTGGTCAGGCCACAGTAAGTAGCTACAGATGGAGTCCACTCTTAACCCAGGCCCCACATCAAGGATCCCTGCCTGATCCCCCTGCCTCTCTCATAAGGATGATCCCAGCAATGCTGGGTGGTTTCCGACTTTGGAACGTAGGACTACACAGAGCAGATGTTCACACGGGCACTACTGTGAAGACAGAGTCCCAGGGTTGTGTCAGTACATGGCTTTGTGCTGTGCAGTGTTTGTGTGCTCTTTGTGGGTGTCTGTCAACCCCTCCTCCCGGAAACTGCATTTCCTCAGGGACTGGGTCATGATTTTGCTCCAGCTTCCTCCATTCAATCCGCCCCTGTCTACACATGAGCAGAAATCTTTTTGGATTTCTACATTTAAGAGCATGAATTTTTAGGGCTTCTGTAGATTTCCCCCTAATTGAGGAATTTCTATGAACACTGATGGAAGTTTTGTAAAACTGTTTCTACTTTCAAACAGCTATTACATACGTCATTTCGTTTTATTTGAAAGTTCAAAAGGAACAACCAAAATGAAACAAATGGCTGACCCTTGATAGCAGTTTTAGTAGAAACGTTTCTGTTTTACACTTGGACAGCTATCAAATTGGGGCCTAATTACTTTACAGTTTTCAACAGGTGGTTCTTAATGGCAAGGCAGTTATCACACATTCAATAAGAAAAGGAGCTAACTAGGTGGACTTGGATGTTTGATTATCTATTTAAGCGTGTAATTGCATTTTTCAATATAATTAGCAATAAAATTGAATGTGTAAATTAATAGATGTGTTTCCCCACTTAAGTAATTGTAATTCAATGCAATACTTTAGATTAGGGGCATTATTTCTCAATTGATGGCAATATAATTTCATGATCATTGTTTTTCTTAATATTTTTTCTGATAAGAACAAAATATATGTAATCAAAAGACTGTTTTAATAAACTGAGATGCCAAGTTAAGTGTAATTATATTTTGATTAATTTAGATAAAATTTATGGAAGTAAAGATTAATACTCGAATAGTCTAATTAAAAGAATAATGGGAGTTCACTGGAGGTCCAGTGGTTAGGACTTGGTGCTTTCACTGCTGAGGGCCTGGGTTCAATCCCTGTTGGGGAACTAAGATCCCGCAAGCCGTGAGGTGTGGGAAAAAAAAAAAAAATTCGAAGAATAAAATCAAACTCCTTACCATGCTATTGAGAATTAACCCTAGCATTTTTCTAGGGCTATATAATGAATTGATATAAAAAAGGGATTGTGAAACATTTTATTTAACTATTGGTCAACCTATAGCTATTATTTTTCACAAATTTTGATATAGATGAATTCAGTTAAATCCTAAACTTTTTTAAAAGAAATGAAGAACAAGATTTAGCATTACTATAAAATAGCATTTTTTCTTCCTAAATGGTAATTTTCAGTGTAAAATTAAACTATTTTTTACATGTTTAAGAAGCTATACTATTTTTCAGGTGTAAATAATCCTACAGAAAACAGGTCAATATAATACCTCTTTCCAGTTACCATTATTTCACTGAACATGCATTCAATATAGTACATAATTGACACATAACTTATACATTTGGAACTATCTCCTGGGGGTTATAAATTCCTTCCTCAAATCAACACATGGCAGTATCTTTCTCGAAGGGAATAATGCCGTAAAACGTTTCCTCTAAGCCTGTCTTCTTTCTTTCTCTCTTTCTCACTCTGTCTCTGTCTCTGTCTCTCTCCTTCCTCCCCTGCCTCCTCTCCTCTCCCTGGCTCTCTCCTTCCCTGGCTTTAGAGAAGCAAGATGTACGGATCCCAGAGCCAGGAAATTAATTCTGTCAACAAGTTGAGAGAGCTTAGAAGCAGCTCCTTCCTCAATTGAGCCTCTGAGGAGAACCCAGCACTGGCCAATCCCTTGATTGAAGACTTGATAGACCTAAAACAGAGGACCTATCTAGGTCATGTCTGGATCTCTGATCCGTGGAAAATGTGATATAATAAACGCGGATTGTTTTAAGCCCCATGTTTGGTAACTTGTTACACAGCCATAGATAACTGATACAGATAGGGCCCAGCAGGTCAGGCTTGCCTCCACTCTGCTCCCATGGGACTTCCTTATCCAACCATTATATTGGGCTGGCCAAACGGTTCATTTGTTTTTTTCCATAAGATGGCTCTAGTAAGTGCTTAGTTGTCTTTAACTTCATTAGAAACAATTTTGTCAGATTGTATTGTGACAGCTGTCATACCAGAGTGCATTTTAAAAAAAAACTTATCAAAATTGGTGAATTTTTGTGTAGCCAATTTGATATTGAAGATGGAAGAAAAAAGCAACATTTTTGGCATATTACAATTTATTATTTCAAGAAAGGTAAAAACGCAACTGTAATGCAAAAAAAAATGATTTGTGCAGTGTATGGAGAAGGTGCTGTGACTGATCGAACGTGTCAAAAGTGGTTTGTGAAGTTTCGTGCTCGAGATTTCTAGCTGGACGATGCTCCAAGGTTGGGTAGAGCAGTTGAAGTCGATAGTGATCAAATCAAGACATTAATTGAGAACAATCAACGTTATACCACACGGGAGATAGCCGACATACTCAAGATATCCAAATCAATTGTTGAAAATCATTTGCACCAGCTTGGTTATGTTAATTGCTTTGATGTTTGGGTTCCATGTAAGTTAAGCAAAAAAAACCTTCTTGACCATATTTCTGCATGTGATTCTCTACTTAAACGTAACAAAAAAGTTCCATTTTTAAAACAAATTGTGACGGGCGATGAAAAGTGGATACTGTACAACAGTGTGGAACGGAAGAGATCGTGGGGCAAGCAAAATGAACCACCACCAACCACACCAAAGGCCCGTCTTCATCCAAAGAAGGTGATGTTGTGTACATGGTGGGATTGGAAGGGAGTCCTCTATTATGAGCTCCTTCCTGAAAACCAAACAATTCCAACAAGTACTGCTCCCAGTCAGACCAAGTGAAAGCGGCACTCAATGAAAAGCATCCAGAATTAGTCAACAGAAAACGCACAATCTTCCATCAGGATAACACAAGACTACATGTTTCTTGGATGACCAGGCAAAAACTGTTATAGCATGGCTGGGAAGTTCTGATTCATCTGCCGTATTCACCAGACATTGCACCTTCGGATTTACATTTATTTTGGTCTTTACAAAATTCTCTTAATGGAAAAAAATTTCAGTTCCCTGTAAGACTGTAAAAGGCACCTGGAACAGTTCTTTGCTCAAAAAGATAAAAAGTTTTGGGAAGATGGGCTTTCCTGGTGGTGCAGTGGTTGAGAGTCCGCCTGCCAATGCAGGGGACACGGGTTCGTGCCCTGGTCTGGGAGGATCCCACATGCCGCGGAGCGGCTGGGCCCGTGAGTCATGGCCGCTGAGCCTGCGCGTCCCGAGCCTGTGCTCCGCGACGGTGAGAGGCCCGCGTACAGCAAAAAAAAAAAAAAAAAAAAAAAA